GCCCCCTTCCTCTCCCTGGTCTTCCTCCTCTCCCTCTCCCTCTTCCTCATCTCCCTGTGTCCTGTGGAAGAACACTCTGGAAACACATATATTATAATTGTACCAACCTATATTTGCCGCACTGTGCCGTGACTATCACATAAAACGTGTTATTTTAGCATTACTGTGCTAATGCTTGTGTTACCAAAACAATTAGAAATAAAACACTCCTAACATATATCTCACAGATAACCTATATCTCACTGGTAAGCTATAACATATTGTAACATGGTTTAGATTCCTAAATAAATATTCACCTCGTCGCTAGATACTCCTGAAAAACTCGAAAAACTCTGCTGTCTGCGCAAGGCTTTTTGGCCACCATCACTTACCTGACGGGAGGGGTGAGTGAGCGCGAGTGAGCGCTGCAATCTAGAATTTGACCGCTGATGTCACTTTTACTCACCATTTTTACACACTGAGGCTTTAAACTTCTCTGCCCTCATCCCCCACTCATTTCTTGTCAGTTTAAAATTCGTGTTCTCAGTCCTTTCATAGTTTTGGGGGGGGTGATTACTGTCTAATCGACAAAAGAGCTATGATCTATGCTGCCATCTTGCTCCGCGCTGCCCCGGAACTCGCTTTTATTTACTTTTATTTCACAGATAAGACACAATAAATTGTATAGATAATAAAGCCTACAAAAATAACATTTTAAGTCTTGTGTGTGATTTATCCTTTAGGGATTTATACTTCGGTATTGATTCTGGCTTCATATGAGCAGAGGAAATCTCTGCTTATTGCTAGGCTAATTTCTATGATGTAAAATGCCATAGGCTTGTGCTAATAACTTTAGCATGTTTTATTTGTTTGGAAAATGTGTTTAGTATAAGACAGTTGTCTTGTCGGTGAACCTTGTGAGTTGTAATAGACTCAAATTTTGTAATATTACCTTTATCAAATGTTGCTGTTTTCCCTGGCTTCATATGAGCAGAGGAAAAGTTTGCTGGCCGCTAGGCTAATATATACAATGAAAAATGCCATAGGCTTGTGCTAAAGATTGAATTTCCCCCTTGGGGATTAATAAAGTATATACAAACTAGTCCATACCCATTGGTAGCTTTGTCACCTTCTACTTATGCCAATCCTCAATGCCTATGTGCAGTTTCACATAGATTGACCATGTCAGTGAGTAGAAAAATGTGGGACAGACAGAATGACTGACTGACAGAATGACACACTGACAGTTTCCGTGATTATGTACAGCATACCATACCATGAAGTAGTCATACCAAAAATTAGAAAAAACCCCAAAACATTTGGCCACAGGGATCGGTCGCATTTTAGCCATTTCTAAGCATTTTTCTGTTGTTATAGCGCCACCCAGTTGCCAATAGAGTTAAAAAAAAATCAAAATGGCAGAAAATCTAAATAATCGGAAGTTATGGGTTCTTGATACAAATCTGTTCGTCATGAGGCATCTCTGTGCAAAGTTTCATGTCTCTACGACATACAGGGCATGAGATATGCCCATTCAAAGTTTGCAATTTCAATCGGTTGCTATAGCGCCCCCCTTTGGCCAATTGATTTAATATTGCTTGATTTGCATCCTCCCATGACCCTCTACCACTGTGCCAAATTTCACATGGATTGACCAAGTCAGTGAGGAGAAAATTTGGAACAGACACTCAGAAACACCCACAGACAGAGTTTTCATCATTATGTAGTAATAAGATACCATTAGCATGTTGTATTTGTCGGGAAAATGTGTCCAGATAAAGACAAGTGTTTCGTCTGTGAATGCTGTGTTATAGTGAGGCCAATTTGTGTACTTATGTTTGAAATTGTCTCTATTAACCCATGTTTATGTGTGTTTTGGGCGTGTTTTGAATCAAGTAAACTTTAAAGCACTTCACAGAAACCCTGTCACCGACTAGTGTTTTGGAGGTGTAACTGCAGGTCAATACAGACACACTACCGCACAAGTATAAATGCTCACCATGGCGTAGGCGACATGTGTAGGGTCTGCCACACGAGTATAAATCCCCCTTAACGTGTTTACATGTATTTTACAACAAAATAAATCAGTTTTCTCTAATATCTTGTAGACGCACTGAGTGACAACTGCTGAGGTCAGAGAGGGGGGTTAGTTACTGTAGACTCACAAGTCAAGTTTAGACGCTTTGCTTAACTAAAGACTGATGTCTTTCTCCCTGATTTTTTGTTTAGATGGGCAGATACAATTTCAAAGTTTAAAAAAACTCCCTACATTGCAGAATCAATAGTAAATCTGCAGGGCGGTCCTTCGGTGGCTCGCTGAACTCTTGTGCTCGTAAATATAGTCTGACTGCGTTAAAAGTTTTAAACAAAGTTGCTGTAAGTGCTTCATTTCCACAATCTTGTGGACTGAGCACACGTTTGATAAAACAGAGTTTAATCTCTTGGCATCCATTTTCAAGCTCTCTGTGTGTTTGTTTCCTTGCGGACGAGAAAAGGGGGAGTGCACATTTCTGGGAGGGCGTGTCTTTTTCAAAAATGCAAGAGGCGTTGCTTTTTTGCCGGCCGTTTTCTCCAGTGTGTTAAACACACTTTAGAAAGGAGTGTCCCCAGACTATCAGAAGGCGGAGATCTCTGATTGTCTGGTGGCGAGACTATAGTTACTGTTACTACTATTTTTAACTTGCATCAACAGACGGGGTGACCGAGCAGTTTGGGCCATCTTTTCTCCTTATGTCCTTGGTCATCAAGTGAAGCACTCACAACTTGTTACACACTGACTAAGAGTAAACGTCATGTAAGGCACTTGTTCTTGTGACACCCTGACATGACATATAATACAAGGTTACTTCTCATTCTTTCTGCTTTGTGGCGAATAGTACAGAGGGCTAAAAGTTTCCATTACATAAGTGTTAAAATTTGCATAAGTTTTACATAATTACATAATTCCTATTACATTGTTGATTACCTTTTGGTTATATTAATAATTTCCATTACACAGGACAAAATAAAATATGAGATTTATATCTAAACACAATACACATATTAGAAAACACTTGTTAAAAACCTGTGAAAAGACTGGAAACTCTACAGCAATAAATTGTGGAGTTAGACCGTTAAATTGTTTCTCACCATTTCTGTGTCCAGGATTTTTTGGGCAGGCCTAAAAGCATGCACTGGAGCGACTCTTAGCACAAGCCCTGCCCCTAAACTATATAAGAACTAAAACCATTCTGTTGCAGACTGAGAAGAATGAGGTTGATTATTGGGCAGGTTAGTGTCCTCTAGCTCTGAATTTGATTCTGGCCCTTAAACATGTCTGGATGTAAAAGTCGACTAAAGCTGCTAGATGGAGTATCCATTGTAGTGCTACAATTAAAAGAGGCTGCAGCTTTCCCATGGGAAAATTTTATAATATGACTGAGAAGAATTTCCTCGACAACTTCAAATGGTGTCTTTTATTATGTTTCCTACTTTATTAAACTGATATTGTGTGCATGTTTTACTTTGTGCTGCTGCAGCCTTTACGTTAACCTGACAGCATTCAATTCAAACTTGTTTTGTATTATTGTCTTATGGAATGTCTGGTGAAATAAGATCAGATTTTTGACTTCGGTAAAAGTGACGGGTACTTGAAATATGAGACATGTTCAGTCACATGACATGGTTACATTTCAGAGCAAGGTGTATGTCTGTCTGTGCATGTAAACTTCTCACCTTATAGAGAGCGAATGTGCGTATGCTGTATGTAGCCAATTCCAAAGTGTCCAGCATGGTCACCTGAATCATCCCATATGTCTCTGTGCCTCGACTGGGCCAATACTGGTCACACTTCACCTGCAAACAAACACACAGAAGTGATTTTCTCCACTAACACTAGAAACAAGCCCAAGGCCCGTGACGACAACAAGTACCACCCAGCACCATGACATTGGGCCCCTTATAGAGAAGACAACCTCATCCTGTGTTGGAAAGACACTGGACATCATCATGGCCCAACAAGCCTTGCCCTCTGTGATGGTCCCACCCTTCCCTCATGGGTAAATCATTAGACAGTGAGCCCCTTGGCACAGATATGCAATAGCCCCCACCACCTTTTCTACAGAGGACCAAGAAACACAGACTTTGTGGTGTTCTTTTTCCCTCTTCCTCTCTTTTTTGTTGCTGTTTTGTGTCTTTGTAGTAATTTTGTGTCTTGTAATGATTGTGTCTCTGAGATTATTTTGTGTCTTCTTATGGTTGCTTTGTGGCTCTCTGTAGTCAGTTTGTGCAGGCCATCTGCTGGGATACACCGATCAGCCAAAACATTCAAACCACTGATGGGTGAACTGAGCAATATTGATCATTTTGTTACAATGCAATGTTCTGCTGGGAGACCTTTGGTCATGGCATTCATGTGGATGCTGCTTGATGCCCTTCACCTACGCAAACGTGGGCTAATTAAATGGCATCCACATGAACGCCATAACCAAAGGTCTCCAAGCAGAACATTGCATTGTAACAAAATGATCAATGTTATTCACTTCACCCACCACTGGTTTTAAATTGTTTTAAATTGAAACCATGTCCTGGCCAATGAGAAGAAGCTGCATGCAGCGGCCGGCCCATGTGGGCTCTGTGCGTTTAAGGGCTAGGGCCCGCCCTTCTCGCCCCATATAGCAACTATTTCAGCCTCCTTGATAGCAACAGGTGACACTCGTTAGTTAATGACACTCGCGCCACTGCGCCTTGCCTGCAAAGTAGACGAGATGAAGCGGCAGCAGCGGGGGCCGGTGACAAAAAGCTGCGGTGAAGTCGGACAGTTTCCCGACAGTTTCCAGTAGCCTTCAGTCTGTACAGGAAGTCCCAGACACACTCACATCCTGTCTGGAATGATGTCAATTCATTAAAAAAGTGATCAGACCCATATGTCAGTTTGTTTTCAGTCTCCAGCTGTTTTAATTATGATAAATTAATTTATTAAAATGCTTTAGAGGTGATCTGTAATTTGTGTTCATGGTTTATCCTCCATTTGACATGAATTCTCCTGTAAATCAGCATCATATCAATTTGACCTGTCCCCTCAACTACACAGGCTAAATAAACTGTTGGTTAATATTTTAAGGACAAAAAATACAAGACAACAGCTTTCATTAAAGATCAGTCCGATACAGTCAGGGCTTCACATCTGTAGGCTACAGATGTTATTTTAGGAATCCTCACATCCCACTGACCACAAGTCTCTGTGTTGCTTAATTTAGTCTCTGATGACTAAACTTTGCGCTAGGGGCGGGTGTCCCACATTGTCCCCCACAAACTCCTTGTCCCACATTTGGTTGTCTGCAGGCCTGATTTTGTGTGCTTTCTTGGTTGTTTTGACCCTTTTTTGTAGTAAATGTGTATCTCATGGCAGTTTCATTGCATCTCTATGTCGTCTTTTTGTGTTTTTTAATGGTCATTTTGACTTTCTTCCTGGGTCCCTGGCACTTGGGGCCCCTGGGCCTGTGACTGGTGGAGCCATTCAGTAATCCATCCATGCCTGCCCCTGTAGGCAAATTGCCTTCACTAAAAGAAGATGGCAGTGGGGTCTGATCTGAGTTTGTGTTTTTCAAAGGTGACCTTTCTTTGAATGAGAGACGGTGGTTGAATAGCTGAATTTTGTTTCATTTATTTATTCATTTATACAGTTTAAGATTACAGAGACAGTGCATGTTAATGAACATTTCTGTAACTGTGCCAAGTTTAGCCAACTTGGCTAATTTTTAATGGTAGTCCCTAGGCAGTTGTGATGACAACTACAAAAAACAAAACAAACAAACAAACAAACAAAAAAACACACAGGAACGGCAATACTGTACAGTACATATAACAGAGCATACTTTATATCCCTTCAGAAAATTGAGCAGCTTTATTCATTTCTGTCACCCACCTATTTAAAGCACTTGACCTTTTACTTTGATAAATGTACTGTAAACTAAAGCCCTTGTTAAATGTCAAAAGTCAAAAGTGAGGCTCACCCGTGACCTCTCCTCCAGGCGGGTCATCATAATGATGGTGCTGGTCCTCTGCTCCCACACCATCCTCCAGAAGTCACTCAGCGTCTCCAGCAGGGGCCCCTGTGTAGCAATGTAAGCATTCTGCTTCCTGTAGCCATCAATGTAGTTGGCATTGATGTAGTCGCTCCCAGGAACTCCTGCAGTGAGTAACAAATTGGACAAAGTTAGCAAGCAAATTAAAATGAGAGTAAATCTGAAAACAGTGGGCTTCTCACTAAAATATGATAAAAAGCACTTAGAGGAAATCAGGGAAAAGCAGCAATAAAGGTTTGTCCTCTCTGCAGTTGAGGTAAGTCAAGGGTGCAGCCACTTTGTAGGAAAACTGTATTTAAAGCTGCAAAAACCCACTAACATCTGCTGACCACTGTTGAATACCAGCACTTTATCAGTGACTTTCAACATCAGACACCAATGAAAAAGCTGTCCTTTCATGCATGATATATAGCCAGTTGCCGTTATTCTGTTATGGCAGCCGGCATCAGGGGGAGACATGGCCAGGCAACAATGTAAGTTAAGGGGGTGAAAGTCCGAGTAGGGAGGCTGGGAGGGGTGGTGGATGGGTTCCGACAAACACTAACTTTCACCCAGGAGGTTGGTGTTCACTTCCTGTATGAATGCAAAGCCAAACCCTGTTATTTTTTCACCCAACCACATGTTTTGTTGCCTATATACAACTACATGTGTTTGTTTGCTAAACATAACCATGTGCATTTGTTGTTAAAGTAGAAAAACATCAATTCATGGTGTTGTATCGATGTAGTGTGTTTATTTTGAAAGACACCGTATGCAAACTGTACATTTCCTGTGAAAACGGAAGTGTATTTTGAAAACAGACAATGCATATAACAGACAGATCTTGATACAGCATCCCAGAACGTCAACATCCAGTGCACCCCAGGTACCTTGCATGTCATATCTCGATGTGGAAAGTCCATGACCAACTGTCGATATGTGAGGAGGACGGAGTGAGAATGTGTTGCGCTAACATTTGGCTGTTTTATGTAAATGGAAGGGTGACAATCTGCGTTCACACCTAGATACAATGACTCTGCAGTTGTCACGGGTATTTATCAACTCTAGCGCCGATTGGCATTGATGGAAACGCAACACCCAGGTGACCAAGTTCAGTTTTAGCCCTTTTACCAGTGAGATGCAATGATGTGCCACCAAAAAATACCGTCGATCTCCACACTAGCAGTGCTCATACATTGTTCCAAATGAGATTGCACCGAGTTTGAAAGAGAGACTGAATAAGTATGAGATATATAAAAGCTAGTAACCACTGTAAAGTATTCACAGGCCTCCATGCTCTTTTCTACTGTTTACCAACCTGTTTTATGACCTGTCGGTGATGTCAAACATGACACAACAATAAAAAAAAACCAGAAACAACAACAACAAAAAAACCCCACACATTACATATAAAGGTATACCTGTCTGCTGCAGAGCCGTGCACACAGCTCTAGTCTACTGGCAATAGGAAAGGAAACTGTTGCCCGTTTTATTCCCGTGTTTAAAAAAACCTGTGTACGTGCACTAATTTTGGTGGAAAAGGGTATAAGTGTCTCTCACCATCCACAGGTGTGAGGATGACCCTGGAGTGGTCGTAGGCAATAACATTTGCATAGCGGTTCTTTGACTTGTTGACCTCCAGATTGGAGTGCTCCCAGGTGAACTGCTGTCCTGGATCTATAGACTGACATTTGGAGAAGGTGGAGAGTGGGAGAGGGGGATATGCAAAGGTGGGAGTGAGAAAGAGCAGCAAATCAATGATTTCAATAGTGACTATTCTCTGCTTTTAAGGTCCTGTAAAATTGACCTAAAACACACATCCAAGGCATAACAAAAGTAAACTGAAAGCTGCTCTTGTTCCATCTTTAGTACATGTCCATGCATGGTCTTCTTTGAACAGTAACACTTAAGTTTTTCCCCAACAGTCAAAATCACTGTAAGTGCTTCGTCATTGAATTATTGAAGTTTCAATACACTGAAATGAAAGATGTTGTATATCCCCCTGAATATTTCCTAGGAAAAAGATGCTGCAGGTGACTAGAGCTGGGAGGTATTAGCTGGAAAACACAATGGGACCATATCATGAAGCCTCACCCAGTCCAAATTCAGTTGATAATATCACAGAAAATAAACATTTTACACATTCTGTCAAGCTTAGTAAAAAACTAATCAGCAAAGACAGAGATGTCTATTTAGGAGCTTACTGTATATAAACACTTCTAGAAAACCTAAATTGATAGGAAAAACATTTTTTTCCCCTTAAGACAACATAGAAGGCCTTTGTTCATCATTTCTGTTCATACAGTATATATGTCTGTGTGTGTCTGTTGTCTGTGGTGACAATAATAGGTTAAAAGCTCTTGTGGAGGTAAGGAGTATCGCTGACTACAAGACCCAAAAGACACAGGAAAGTGCTGGCACTTTAACAGGCTTGAACCTAGAGGAAATCTCAGTGACTTACATTCCTTTAGCTCAGGCTCTGGTTGAGACATAGCTGCAGACGCATTCCGTTTGTGGGGTATAAGACACGTTCCTACAAACTGCGCCTGTCACGAGTACAAGACAAACCCACCAACACGACGGTAACAATCCTGCTACAATGCTACACTGTAGTGAATAAATGAGACCAAATATAGTGATAATTCACTTCATAATTCATAAGACATGAACACATAATTCACTTTCTAAGTAATGACATGTAACACTTCCCATTACCCTTACCCTAGCTTTAACTGCCTTTCTTTTAATGTAATACTTCATAGTTAACGTTAGCTAATTGCTAACTTAACATTAGCAAAAGTAAAGAGATGTTGCCTTTCCACTGCCCTTATCTAGGCTGACCAAAAGTCCTCTTTTGCCTGGACATCCACTTTTGATGTCCTGTGTTTATAAATTGATGATAATGTCCGGTTTTCCGAGTGTGTGTGTGTGTGTGTGTTAGAGTGCGGCACGGGCCGCATATTTCTGTCCGAACCCGTCCGAACCCGACAGTCATTCTGTTTTGTTATGTCCAAAACCGAACTGAGCCCGACATTATTTAATGACTAAAGGACTGAGGCCGGGTGTGCACCGTGGGTGCTCCGCGGAGAGGGAGACCTCCGTGTTTGAGATGGGAGTGGGCGGCGCGAGGTCCGAGGCTTCCAGCAAGGGGAGAGGTAGAAACAAACAGCCAATGTGTGTATGTGTTCTGTTCAGGTGTTGTCACTGAAATAACAGTCCCCAAGCAATAAACAGGACAGACAATAGGATTTTATTTATTTTTACACTACATTTTCACTGAAAGCTGACCGAATCTGACCCGAGCCCTAATACAATTTATACATTTTTGACAGAACCCAGCCCGACCTGTCGGGACCCGTCGGGCTCGGATCGGGTAGCCACACTCTAGTGTGTGTGTGTGTGTGTGTGTGTGTCCTATCTATAGGGGCCTATCTGAATTTCTGTCTTTGAGAGATATTATTTTGTAATATAACTGAATATTCTATCCATACATATAAACTTTAAATATATTAAAATTATAAGGCATCTTTGAGTAAACTGCGAGTATCATTTAGGCTATCTCGTGGCTGGCCCGAGTGTCCTCTTTTTTGGAAATCGAAATATGGTCACCCTACCTTATCCTAACCTTAACTGCCACTCTTTTAACATAATACTAATCACTGACTGAGCAATTTTGTCGAGACTATCGCTTCCAAGCCAAGGAGCGAAACTCCTATTGGCTGAGGTCTCAATTAAAGCCCCAAAACTCACCTCCATTTTAAGATATCCTGGTCATATTTGTTTACTTGTAGGACAGAGATATTGTGAATCATATGTGGAGAAAGGAGTATGAACATTTGAAACGATGCAACGGCAGTTCGTGGATATATGTATTTGGAAGAATTTTTTTTGTTGGATTTAGATTGTTTGGACCTTTGGGAGTGTATGAGAAATGAAATTGGAGTGTGATTTGGTCTGGAAAATGTGGATCTGTGGATTATGATAATGCTTCATAGGTGAGTTATAACTGTTTGTGTGTAGTCTGTCTGACAGAAGTGTTTATTGAGCCTGCTGTGGTGTATCTTTAAACCATTCATCATAACCATTTGTTTGCACTGCTGTTCATAACCAGTTGCAAACTTGTAGCTATTTTGTAGCTATCTGCACATTTTCTACATTTCCTACAACCTCTACCTCACTTTCTTTACTCCTGCAATTTTGATATTGATATTTTTATTTTATTTCTGTATATTTCTCTTGTATATGTTAAATTTTAGTACAACTTATTTTATTATATATTTTATATTTAGATATTCTATTGTCAAAATGTATGGAAAAATTTCAGCACACTCAAAAAGCACCTTTTCGGGTCAGGATAGGCCTAATTTTCGCAATATTACGCAGATGAAAAAATGCAGTCCGTGAGGTTTGTTTTAAATGAGAATTAAAAGACAAATCTTGATCAAATATTACTCCGAGGTTTCTTACGGTAGTGCTAGAGGCCAGAGCAATGCCATCTAGAGAAACTATGTCATCAGATAAAGAGTCTCTGAGTTGTTTGGGGCCAAGAACAATAAAATTCATTTTTGTCTGAATTTAACATCAGGAAATTGGTGCTCATCCAAGTTTTTATGTCTTTAAGGCAGTTATGGAGTTTAGTTAATTGATTACTTTCTTCTGGCTTCATCGATAAATACAACTGTGTATCATCCGCATAGCAATGGAAATTTATAGAGTGATTTCTAATGATGTTGCCTAAAGGAAGTATATATAGAGTAAATAGGATTGGTCCAAGCACAGAACCTTGCGGAACTCCAAAACAAACTTTGGTACGTAAGGATGATTCATTATGAACGTGAACAAACTGAAAACGATCAGATAAATAAGATTTAAACCACCTTAGTGCAGAACCTTTTAGGCCAATTAAGTGTTCCAGTCTCTGCAGTAGAATTTGATGGTCAATTGTGTCAAACGCTGCACTAAGATCTAATAAAACAAGTACAGAGACAAGTCCTTTGTTTGAAGCAATCAGAAGGTCATTTGTAATTTTAACTAGTGCTGTCTCAGTGCTATGATGCACTCTACACCTCTGGATCCAGGGTGGGCTTTTTTAGTAGAGGTTTAATTACAGCTACCTTAAAAGACTGTGGTACATAGCCTGTTAATAAGGATGTATTGATCATATCTAATATATGAGTGTTAACTAAAGGAAATACCTCCTTAAGTAGCCTAGTTGGGATGGGGTCTAAGAGACACGTTGATGATTTAGATGAAGAAATCACTGCGGTCAATTCTTGAAGAGAAATTGGGGAGAAGCAGTCTAAATATATATTAGGTTTTACAGCTGTGTTTGAGGTTAGATAGGTACTACGCTTTTGTTACCTCTAGGCTGGATTACTGTAACTCTCTATTATCAGGTAGCTCTAGTAAGTCCTTACCTAACTCTCCAGCTAATTCAGAATGCAGCAGCACGTGTACTAACAGGAACTAAGAAACAAGTTCATATTTCTCCTGTTTTAGCTTCTCTGCACTGGCTCCCTGTAAAATCCAGAATTGAATTTAAAATCCTACTGTTAACTTATAAAGCTCTAAATGGTCAAGCTCCATCATATCTTAGTGAGCTCATAGTGCCATATTATCCCACCAGAACACTGAGCTCTGAGAACGCAGGGTTACTCGTGGTCCCTAAAGTCTCCAAAAGTAGATCAGGAGCTAGAGCCTTCAGCTATCAGGCTCCTCTCCTGTGGAATCATCTTCCTGTTACGGTCCGGGAGGCAGACACCGTCTCCACATTTAAGACTAGACTTTCCTCTTTGATAAAGCTTATTAGTTAGGCTTATAAGCTTATAAGCTAGTTAGGGCTGGCTCAGGCTTGCCCTGTACCAGCCCCTAGTTAGGCTGACTTAGGCCTAGTCTGCTGGAGGACCCCCTATAATACACCGGGCACCTTCTCTCCTTCTCTTTCTCTCTCTCGTATTCTATTACTGCATCTTGCTAACTTGGCCATTCTGGATGTCACTAACTCGGCTTCTTCTCCGGAGCCTTTGTGCTCCACTGTCTCTCAGGTTAACTCGTATTGCAGCGGTGCCTGGACAGCGTGACGTGTGTGGTTGTGCTGCTGCCGTGGTCCTGCCAGATGCCTCCTGCTGCTGCTGCCATCATTAGTCATTAGGCATACTTCTACTGTTATTATACACATATGACTATTGTCACACATGTATGCTGCCAGATATTAATATATACTTTCAACATATTTTACCACAGTAGCCAGAACTATAACTATAATATTATTACTTTCAATAATGTTGTTGTAAGCTTTTTTTTGGGGAGTTTTTCCTTATCCGCTGTGAGGGTCATAAGGACAGAGGGATGTCGTATGCTGTAAAGCCCTGTGAGGCAAATTGTGATTTGTGATATTGGGCTTTATAAATAAAATTGATTGATTGATTGATTGATACTATCTGAGGACAGGAGGTCATGAATTTTGCCTCTAATAGTTAGAATTTTGTCATTAAAAAAGCTCATAAAATCATTACTGCTAAGGGCTAAAGGAATACAAGGCTCAATAGAGCTTTGACTCTCAGTCAGCCTGGCTACAGTGCTGAAAAGAAACCTGGGGTTGTTCTTGTTTTCTTCTATTAATGCTGAGTAATAGTTTGCTCTGGCATTGCGGAGGCCCCTCTTATAAGTTTTGAGACTGTCTGT